GCACCTGTAACTTCCCACTATGCTAATACAAATCGACGAATTTCTCGCTAGAAATTAGAATGAAATTCATAGTTCCTGTGTTCTGCCAACAGATAGCAGCACTATCGGTATCAGGACTGCCTCGAAAAGTGAGCTGTTGTTTTCTACACTCCTGATACAAAATAAAGATTTCCAGCTCCGAATTCGTGCGTCAGACGCTTCTGGGACCAGTTTTTTCTTTTCTTGTTTATTCATTCTGGAAATTGATCAGAATATTTAAAAATACATTAAAAAATTAAAAATTGCTTTTTGATTTTATTTTACTCCAATTCTTCAAACTTTCACTATTTAATACATTTTATAGTATAGAGCTTATTTTTCATGTTGTGAATTGATCAAAATATTTTGAGTTGCTCCAAAAATTCAAAAGGCTTCCTATTTTTTCTCATTTTGTCTAAAAATAATAACAAATCTGCAACACTAATTTCCAGTCGCTGATTAGATGAGAGATGTTTTTGGAAGATACACCCCATTCCACTTGGTATACACCCATGCTTGTGGTAGATTACTCCTGAGTATGTGTTCCCCTATTTCTGCTTCGTCTCTGCCTTTTTTCTTGGTTTCCGTAATTCCCAATGTGTCTACTTTTGGCCAATATTATCTCTTCAGTCAATTCTAATTCCTTCCCGTTTAGCCCTTTGACGTTCCAAGTTCCCAATCTTAAAATCCATTTTCCACGCCGTGTCTTTAACCGTAATAGCTGATCAGCTCTATTCTTTACTTGTCATTTCATATGAGTTATACTCGGAATAGGAGGGACTGTTACCAAAGCCTGGTAGAGGGATTGCCTCCTTACAGGGACTGCCTTCAGACCGACCCTCTATCTGCTTCACTGCTTTGATTGTAGTAGCAGCTAATTACCTGAGACGGTGTAATATTGTTTCGTGCTGAGGTTTTGCAGAGACAATAATTTCTCCTGATCCTTGTTTGTATGGGATTAAAGTCCAACCTCTACGCGGTACTCCCTTGTGAACGCACTCAGAGTAGGCTAATAGAGGCGGCAATATATTTCTCGGCAGACTGAGGTATTATTTATAATCAATGTCTCATATTATTAATCTCGTCTTGTTGATGTTTTCACTTCTATCGTGTGGTCTAAAGCACACATCTTAGGTTTTTTTTCTTAATGAGAAATACGCAAATAGAGCATAATCCTAATAGGAAAAGAGAGAGAGGTAATTATTTAAAATGGGTGGAGCATTAATTTAATTGTGGAAATGTTTATTTCGTAAGTAGTTTGTTTGGAAATATTGACATGCTAACAACCCACATAGCTAGTGATCAATTTTTCTGAAATTTGTTTTAAAACTTATTTCTATTTTAATTTAAATTATTTTTACGTTGAGAAGAGAGTAGAAACTCCCAACTTGTCTCCCCTCTGAATACGCACATGTTACGTGATTAAGCTCGTTACTTAAAATACGACCATCTACTCCTCTACTTTAATCCTAGATCCTCTACTTTGGTTCTGATTGGTGAATTCTTTGATGTTCAAATCAGATAGCTGTGTATTGTATAACGGGGATTTTAAATAACAAACAAATTATCCTTATATCCTCACATATATTATTACAGTAAGGCTCGAAATCGGTTTTGTACCAAATATAAGCTCTTGTCATGCTCAAATACCATTGGATTCAGAATTTCACCGGGGGTTAGCGAGTCATACTCTTCGCTTTTGTTTTTATTACTAAGATAAATAAAGTCGATATAAACATTTTATTAGGCTTCCCTCGGAACTATCGGGTCCTGCGTTCTTAAGTCCCAAAACGTACTATTTTCGATATAATGCAAGTCAAAGGGTTCCCATCCGCACAACCTTACGTTAATTGTAATACTGCAATGGAATACATGTCTCATTTCATCTACTTGAAGTGTAAGAATATCTATGATTAAGAGGTGAGGAGTTTATATTGTTTATCAAAGGTTTTTTTTTTTTTTTTTATCGGTAAGCCATATCATCGTTAATTCTTCATCAAATCCCAAGATTGAGTTACCAATTCTGAAGGTTTCATTCACCTTCAGGCGGAGAAAGTAGTCCAATCACTTTGATTGGTTACAATTATACACTTTTCCATTGGTTATGTCCATGATCATATAAAAGATTACTAAATTTCCTACAAAAGAAAAAAAATCTTCGAAAATGGACACTTATTGGCAAAAATACAGCTTATTAAATTTTGTAAACATGTTTTTTCTAAACATTAATGAAGTTTTAAATTAAATATTGTTTTCCTTGTCGATTATATTTAGCGAGGAAGTAACAATTTATTTCTCTTATAATATGTTGCATTATTTTCTTTTCTTATTAATTTGTCATTTGATCACCAAACAACATACTGTGCCGATCTTTCGCACGGGCCTACTAGTATTATTTATTACATATTTATATAACTTTAGATTTATATAACTTTTTCACGGCGTAAGATGGTTAATATTCAGTGACCAGGATAACAGGTGTCATCGACCTCTGCCAAGGACACCTCGGTCAGTCAGTTCGTTGCCGCTGCTTAGTCCTTCCTATGTAGTTGTAAGTAGACGGACTTATCTCTGATAGTAATATCTAAGTGCTATTTTTGATCTATCGATTATTGTTTTAATTTGTAAATTATTCCTAATGGATATTATATAACATCTATCATTTAAGTTTTTCAACTTAATGGGAATGCTATCAATTTTTTTCAAGTAAATAAACATTCACAAATACAGAAATTAAATTTAAAAAGTTATAGTTTTACTAAAGACGTATTTTGATAATCTATTGTTCTGCAACAGAGATTTTTAAATGATGAAAACTTATACTATGATTGTATTTGTTTTATAATTTTTTCGGATACGTAATAATATTTCAAAATTCTTTAAAGAGTTTTAGCCACTGCCTAAGGCAACTACCTACTCTTACAATGTTAATTATAATTAATTTTTGGTATTAGCTCACAAGTTCCATGTTAGTTGACAGGTGGGTCAAGATCACATAGATTATATTGTAGATGTAATTTGAAAATTAGCCAAGTGTACACAACAATATTCAATGGTGGGTTTGCCAATCTCACTCCAAGAATAAACAAACCAACGTTTTTTTTTTTCAGTATAGGTTGCCTCCTTGTCGAATAAGATTGATCCATTTTTAATCTTCAAATACCCTCCATAAATTATTTCAAAGGAAGATTTTGAGATTGGCTACCTTTTTGGACACACTATGCTACTATCTGGATTCTATGTACAGTGTGATCATTGTGATCTTGAACCACTTGTCAACCAGATGATAATTTTGAACTAGCACAAAAAATTACAACTTTCATTCAATCCCAATGAAAAAGTAGCTGAAGTTTTGTGATAATATATAAAAAATGTTAATACAAGATAGGTTTAATACGTAAATTAATGACGATGTAGTATTAAAAAAATTAAACCAAGTATTATTTGTAGTTAAATGACTAAAATAAATTTAACCTATCCCTTTACCCTCTCTAGGAAAGAGCTGTTTAGTTTGATAGGTAATGATGGATTTTACAATAATATTTAATGCCTTGATTCCTCACTAAATGTCCTAGACATAGTCAGTGAGAAGTTGAAAAATGCAAAATAAGATTGATTTTTAAGAATGCAGACCCAGAATCGATTTTAACTATTCTTAATTTAGTGGTCATTTACATGTTCTTTTATCCAATAGTATAAAATAAACTGCTTCATGTTTATGACTATGAATTACTTTTAAAAAGTGGAACCTTCAACTAAATTGAGTTCCGAGGTCCATTTTATTTGCTAAATTCATAATCATATAAAATTAAAGAAAAAAAATATACTGATCGTAAAGATTTTAATGAAAAAAAAAAGCGACGCTTCAGTTTTGTTATGGAATAATTTAGAAATGAGGTATTTTAAGTATAACTGTTGCAAAAAAAGTAGTTTGGATTATGGGCCAACGCCATAAGTAAGTGCAAAATTCAAATTATATGATAAACAAAAAATAATCATAAAACCATGATTTTTTAAATTTATAACCAATTTAAATTACAATTAATAATTCATTTTTTAACATATTATTTGTTCTCTTTACCTGGGTACTGATTCATGGATAAAATTGATCCAACTGTGGTGTGATTGCCGACTGAGTGTATTTACTGTATTACTGTTATAAATAAATTAAGGTTAAACAAAGCTCAAATTTGTCACTTTGCAGATAAAAGACATTGTAAGGTTACAAATTTGAATGCCAACAATGCTAAAATTACTACTGCAACAGGGGAGTCCTCATTATTGAACAAGCAGCTCTCTCTAATAGATACAAACTTGAATTTAGAGTCGTGGAGATAGGAAGTTGAAATAATAATAATTACAAATAAATAAAAAAGTAGTTCATACAACTTTAAAAAAAAGATATAAGAAATCATAATAATTCAATGAAGAAATATACCATAGCTTGGTGTTACTTGGAACCAGTAGAGAGTTACTTAACTACTGACAACAAATTTTAAATTATGTATGCAAATAGAACGTAACCTCAAATCCATATAACACTTGCGCTAGGTCCATTTTTTTATTTTTTTTTATTAGTCCTGGTGTGGTGTCCAAGTAGCCCCTAGTAACGGTATTATAATTATTGCACTTATAATTACCTGAATTGGTAATTTATATATATTATTTCTTGTTGATTAAAGGCTTACATTTATTGTTTTCTGAAGAATAGAGTGAAAAATTTCATAATATATTTTTTTCTCAATAGACCTTGAAAATATAAAAATAAATTATTACAGCAGTTAAATTGAAGAATTTATGGCTGTTTTTTCAAAGTTTGCTGTTTAAGTTTTAAATTTAGTTAAAGTTATTTTTAGTTTAAAATATGGAACTTCCAATTAGTCTGAGTGACAATAATTCATTCCTTGAAAAACATCATCATAACAATGGAACAAGTAATAAAAATTAAATTAATAACTTTTGCTCCAATTTTTAGATGACAAATGAGGAAACTAATATGGAGAAAAATAGTGATTCCATCATTCCTACTGATTTCTACTTTTATACTTATAACTACGCTGAAACAAATTTATTACCATCAAAATGAAGAATTTCATTTATCTCCTAAGGGACTGAAAGCTATTTTAGTAAGTTATTTTTCATAATAATTCAACAGCATATTTAAAGAAAAAAAAATTAATTTTATCATAAATGAATGGACTCAATTGAAGAAAATGGTTTGTATTAGAAGTTCTGTAGAGAATTTTGTATACATGAAACACATTTTCATACCAGGAGTTCATTTATATTATTTAGATTTAGAGGTTCTTGAATTTCAAATTTCTTTTATCATATTAAGACTACTTTAAAAAATACTTCTATTGCTGTTATACTATGTCCTTCAAATTATAAATAATCATTATTCATATAATATTGATATTATATGATATCTCTAATATTCATTAGAGTTAGTTTATTATTTAAGAAACAATTTAGTAATTCTATTTCTACTGAAACTATTAATAACTTCATGAATTATTTGATAGACAAAAACAGAACAAGAAAACAAGCGAAGGATTGAAAGAGTAGAGGAGACATGCAGAGCATATAACTTGGGACTTTACAAAAGCGACGGCTCTAAGCCTGGCTTTAAGTATCCTCCTACTCCGCAGTACTCTGTCTATTACTTTGATATGTAAGTCACTAAATATTTTCTGTAAAATATTTGATAAACATTTATCGTTTAACATATTTTATTTATTTTTTATAATATTTTCAAAGTAATAAAGCTCTATATACAAAGAATTAATGAAACAGACAATACAAAAAAAATGTAAAATAAAATGGAGTATTATGATAACATTTATTGGATATTACAACAGTAAGAAGATGAATTTTTGTTAATGAATGGAAGTATGGAGGTATATTATTAAAACCTTCCTTGAAAATATAAAATTGATATAAAAATTGGAACTTTTCAAGATAAAAAAGAATAAAATAAATAAATTTGTTAATACAATTATTTTCTATTTATCTAACAAAACATAATAACAAGTGGAAAACTAAATAACTGAGTTAATAACCTCTATTTAGAATGTCAATTCAATGTTTGTATTCAGATCCTTGGTAAAAATTAATGTAACAATAAGATAATATTTAATCTCAGCTGAATGTTACCAACAAATCTTAATTTTTTTTTTAGAAACCATAATATAGCGTACTGCCCTGTCTATAAAGCTGGTTCCACAACCTGGCTTCATAATCTTTGCCTTCTGAATGGAGAGCGAGAGGAAAATATCAAAGGAAAGCAGATAAGTGAAGTTGCAAGGAATCTTTTTCCAGAACTGGATGGCGAACTAGCAGAAATGGTTAGGCTTAAACACTTTTATTTAATTAATCTACAAAACTTATTAATTCAATTAAATTGTATCGATATTATCTAAAACATGGAACTAAATAACTACATTGATCCCTTTATAGTTTTTTAGTCAATTAATTTATCATTCTTTAAAACATTATTATTACTTAACATTTACTGTTTAAAACGTGCAAATTTTAAACATTACATCTGAGTTTAACAAAATAAGAATATAAACATTTCAGACTATAGTTAGAAAGGTAATTACTTGTTTTGTAAAAATAATATCATCGAAGCACTAATAGATGCAGTGAGACACCTCAACTGAAACGACATTTACAGAGTGAAGCTTGGAAGTCGACTGACGGAGCCTTTTTCAGGTACTAAGTGTCTGAAACAGGGCTCTAGTATGGCACCGACTCTTTTCAAGATATTTATAAGTGAATCTGTCAAGCAATGGTATTGTCGGTGTAGAGATGTGGGACCATGGATCGGAGATGAACAGGTGATGTTCCTCTTTTTCATCGATGATCAAGTCATTGGCGCGCGAAAAGCTGTTTTTGGAAGAGATGATGTGCTCACTATGGGCATGTTATTAGTCTATGGGGAATAGGTGAATTTATCAAAGACAGAATACATGGCCATCTGCACCGAGGATGCCAGTAATCTTTGTGTCGTTTCTCAGACCTGTACAAATGTAGATGTATTTAAATATTTGAAATCTTACCGCGATTCCTTGGGATCCTCAGAAATTATTGCGGGGAGAAAGCTCGGAAAGCCACACGAATGCTTCATCCTGTCTTGTGGAACACTGGAATTCTAAAAGAAAATAGGCAAAGGATATACCACCCCATCGTAGAACCCATCCTGACGTATGCAGCAGAAACCTGGACCATGTCATCCCAGCTATTTGCAAAGGTACAAGCTGTGATAATGGAGTTTTGGAGGAGATGCCTACATGTGACAAGGATGGATAGAATTAGGAACGAGGTTGTTAGGGACAGGATGGAGGCCCCTGTATCCGTCAACCAGAGAATTGGATGGTAAAAACTGGTATGGTAAAACGAATGTCTACTGAGCGATGGCCCAACCAAATCCTAGATTGGCAATTGCCGGAAAGATGGAGGTGAGGATGACCCAGGAAAAGAAGGATACATGCAGTGAAAGATGAGATGGCTGGCCGGGGTCTACAGGATGTGGATTGGTTTGACTCCGACCTCTGGAGCTCAGCCCTGAAGAGAAAGGCAACCCTTGTTGGAAACCTATGTAATATAATATAAAAAATATTTTTGAACCAAAAAGTATAATTTTTTATACTTTGAACAAATTTTTGTATTTAATCAAAGCCATCAGGTAATTAGTTAGTTAAATTGGAAAAATAAAATAAATTATTGTTTCTACTAATAGCATTTTTCTTGTTTATTGTTTTAGCGATTTCCCCAATGCAAGCGGTTACTTTGTGTTCGTCACCCATTTGACCGCATCTTGTCTGCATACCGTGATAAGTTAGAAAGCAGAGATAGAGCACCACAGCATGGAACTCTTCACTACTACAAGAGATGGGGTTCAAAAATTAGAAATAAATTCAGGACTTCTGGGAAAATTGAGCCTACATTTGAGGAGTTTGTTAAGTATGTATGATTAATATAAAAGCATAAAAGAATAAAAATTAAAAACTTGTATTGGAACAGTTTTGATACATTGAAAATATTTAGTTATAAACTATATTTCATAGAAAAACCTAATCTGAACATTGTAAAAATTAAAAAAAAATCTTTAGCTGTTCTCAAGATTTGATTCAAGAAAACATCTATGTTTTATTCGCAATTTATTTAGTATCAATTTATGAATCAAGGAAAAAATTGGTAAATAATTTGTAAAAATAGTGAAATAGGAGATAAGTGATATCCTTATTTTGTTAACAATGGAATAAACATTAATTATAACATATGTAGGTTTCTCCTTCAAACGGACCTTCTGGCCTATTCAGACGATCATTGGATTCCATACAACGCATACTGCACACCATGTCTTTTGAGGTACTATTTCCAATTTAAATCATTAACTAAATGTTTTTCAGCAGTTCAAATAACAAACTTCAATTGCAAAATATTGCTAATACTTTGGTGTACAATGTTCTTTAAATTATAGTCACTACTCTAACATAAAATGAGAAACTTTTCTAAATGAACAAATTATCATTTATATTAAAGTAGTCTCATTAAAAAAATTAATAAGTTGTGGTTTCTTTGAATAATATTGTAAAAATATTCGTCATTCAATTTAGTACACACTCTGAAAGGCAAAACAAGTTGCACCCTTTGCTATTTATTCTAATATTCTATCAATTTATATTTAAAATTAACCATATGAACATAATAAACCACAAATTAAAATATATTTAAAAAAATCTTTTTTTAAAAATAATAATTGAAAGAAAAATAGGTTTCACTCCTCCAGCATTTATTATAAGCAACTTTTGATGAAGCACTAACTTAATGAGGTTTTTGAATAAATATTGATAATTAAATTCTAACTATCCATAGATCTTTTCAGATAGAAGAGTGAACAAAATCTTAAATGTGGCAGCTTTAATTTTTGTTATTATTATATAAATACATTTTTTAAAATTAAGATACACCCTCAATAGAAAGTACACCTTGTAGAATAGTATTTAATTTAATTTAAAATATTATTAAAAGATATTTGTAACACAGTAATGCATTTACAATGCTTACATTAAAATATTTCTAAAGAAGAGTAACCTACAACCAATCAATATCAACCATAATTTGTTTCAGATATGATTACATAGCCAAAGTAGAAACTTTAACAGAAGATCAATTATTTTTTATACATAGTCAAATGTTGGGGGCTTGGATTACTCCGTCGAAACATCACTCGTCCAAAAAAATCAGTTCAATTGTAGCAATGGATTACTTTTCTCAACTAACGAAAGAACAAGTCAATAATCTTTACCAAAAATACAAGCTTGATTTTGAAATGTTTGATTATTCAATTCAACCTTATTTAGACTATGCTAAATAAATGTTTATCATTTCATGGTAATTATGCTAAATTAGAAGCAATTAAAGTTAAGTGAAATATAATTAAGTAAGGTGATCTAGTTAAGTTTATTCAAATTTTATTTGTTACTAAATACAAAAAGATTATTTTATTTAAAATTGATTTATTTATAAATATAAAGAACATGGCTTTCAGTGAATACTTTCTTAGAGAATAAATTGATTTAAAAAAATAACTTTTTTTTTCAATTAAAAAAAAAAAAAAGATAAGACGCATAGAAGTGAAATAAGATGCATAAATAACTCCAAGGTTTTGGCCAAGTTGAATGACAGACAATTTAAAAAAAATATAGAAAAAATAAAACCTTGACATATTGTTACTTAAATCTTCAGAGTATTTTCAGAGGGACAGACAACTGAGCTGCTTGAAGTAACTTTCAAGGTGAAATGAATAATGGAAAAAAACAAAAACAATTTCATTAAATAATTTTATTGAATAAATATAAAACTATTCAATCATATAGTGTTATTTTCACCATATTTAAATTACAATAACATTTCAAATGGTAACTTGCCAGTAAACATACTCGACTTTAACTTTGAAACCTCTTAAGAATAAATCCCTTTAAATACTGTCAAAACATTTAAATTTAAATAATTATAAAAATAAAAATATATTTATTATAATTTGTGCTTATACTTTATTGTTTTTGTACTATTTAAAGAAAAAGTCGAAAAATACTTTATTAATGAATTTATAACAATTTTCATCCTAGCATCATCATTTTCTAGCACTTAAAAAAAATAATTACATCTGTTTTTATAACATGAAAAGAAACTATGAAATGAGGCAATTAATATTACAGAATACAGGCTATGAGACACTCATTTCAAAACATCATTTAGAAAATACATATTCAACAAACAATAGTTGCAAACTGTTATTTTCTTTTTTATAACATATTAATAAAATATACTTATGCTAGTGTATTTCTATAATCCTATCAAAAATGTAAACAGATAGTAAATGAATGATTCAATATTTTAGAAACCAACAATTAAAGATTAGCATGTTGATTTATAAAACACACAATTTTTTTTTATACTTGATATTTCAAAAACCAATCAAATAACCGAATTCAAACTGCAAACAAGAGTACAAAGGACATTTATTTGATTAAGAGGAAAAATATCTTTTAACATGTAATTAAAATTAATCTACTGTCCTTTGGAGCCTCGTTCACAATTTCCTATTCCACAAAAAAGAAATAACAGCTATTTGGTAAATATGGTACCTCAAATATTATTAAATAATTACAACAAAGTATTTAAGTTTATTATAAAAAATAGTAATTTTTATTCAATAACAAAATATTTAATGACAATATGCTGTCAGTTCTTTAACAATAAAAAGGTATAAGATAATTAATAATATTATTGGCAGTTAATGAAGAAAAATATTTATATTACAAGTAAATATCTAGGCTTATAAAATTGAAAGTTTCTAAAATTTGTTTATTTGATGATAAAAAATAATTAAAAGTTATATTCAGCTCTTTAAAAAATGCAGACTTGTATTTTTCCTTTTGAGCAAACTGCAACTCCTTAAAACTATTAGAGCCATTAGTTTGTACTAATTAATTTATAAGACAATGATGAATATGTATAAAAAAATGATTGAATAGAGTTAAAATAACACAATTACCACAGTTCAAGGTATTGCAGATTAAAAATTAAAATAGTCGCACTTTAGAATAATGAATAGATACCATACAGCTAAGCTCAAACCAAGGATAATAATTTAAAAAGTCACTTCCAAGTCTTTTAATGATATAAAATATAGAAGTCCATTAATAAACTACCACACAAGAAAAAAACATAAATATAGATTACTTATGCTTTCAAATAAGAATGTTTAGTACTTATCTATAATTTCAATAGATTTAAAAAGGGTATTTCATAGTTATTCTATTTTTGAAAAATAAAATAAAATAAAAGCCATTACAATTTTTTTGTTTAAAGTTTGATAAGTACCCTTATAAATTTAATAACTAAATAATAAAAAAAAAATAGAAACCAATATTAAAACTTTTCATCAGTACGTCATCTAGGGAAGGAAGATTAAGTTAATCGAAATACAGCTAATTTCCTATAAGAGAAAATTGGTCATATAAAATAGAAAGATAAATTTTTGATTGAGTACTAACTGTGATAGAAGTCCAAATGAAAATTATATGTTAAATATAGCTCACGAAGAACTTATAGAACACATATAACTGCAAAATCATCATACTATCAAGAATTTACAATTAGAGAAATATCACAATTCGTTGATTTGTGCTGAACTTATAATTAAAAATTAAAATTAATAACTGAATACAATATCAACCAGTCTAAATCAAGTAAGCTAAAAATAAAAGTCACTAAACTTTAATATCCTGTGTAATAGGAGTCATATAATTAGTAAGATATTTGTATACAGATGGCCAAATTTCATCTGAAGTCCTTCCTGAAAATTCTTCTAGTATCCCTGCCTCCCTATAAAAGTCTAGTACTGGACCAAGAGTCTTCGAATATACATCAAGTCTTTTCTGAACCGATTCTGGTTTATCATCATCTCTTTGAACGAGTTTTTCTCCAGTCACATCATCTAACCCAGGAACTTTAGGTGCATTAAAATCTATATTATAAACTCTACCACTGGGCATATGAACCCACCGTTTCTGTATTCTGTCAACAATAACCTCAAAAGGTACTACTAGATTCATAGCAGCATCCACAGGGGCTTCTTTGAATAAAACTTCAGCTTGTTTTCTAGTTCGTGGAAAACCATCTAACAACCAGCTTTTGTTGGCACTTTTACTGATTTCTGATAGAACGACCCCAACCATAACTTCATCAGGGACTAATTGACCTTTGTCCATATATTTTTTTGCATCAAGCCCTAAAGGGGTTTTGTTCAAAATATGATGGCGAAGTATGTCCCCGCTAGAAATATGTTTCATTTCAAATTTTCTAACAATTCTTGAAGAAATTGTTCCTTTACCTGAGCCAGGAGCTCCTAAAATAAGGGCCCTAAAATTCTTCAGCATGTTGACAGTTGTGCTGCTACAAATCAAAAGCTGCTAAGTCGTTAGTAACGAGGATTTAAGTACTAGACGATTTTTCAACACAACTAAACTGACGTGCCACAAACGGCAACAACTGACATACTAGATTTAGAACAAGGGCGCTCAACTGGTGGAGATACCAGTTATCAGCTGAAATACACAGATGGTTTCAAGGTCACGCAGTGTTGTCGGCTACTAATTCAGATCAGGAGTTAATATTGTTCATATTCACCTAAATTAAACTCCTGATCCTATAAAAATATTTCGATTTTATTTGAAATATAAAGATTTATATCCAGATTAATTAAAAAATTTTGAACATTCGAGCAACAGGTATGAAGGATAGTATTTTAAATACGATGTAAAAATGTATATATTTTCAATATCACTAAAGCTCTAAGCATGATTATAAATTAATATCACAGAGGATGGATTAAACTGATAAACTACTACTTGACAGTTGCATTTATAAAATATTTTACCTCTTTTTATATTTCATTTAATGAACCTTTTCTCCAGTTTAATTCATTCGTTTATGTGTGAAACAGGATTTAATTTTGAGAGGGAGGGGAGCTTTAGCATGAAAGGTTTTTTTTTCCTTTATATATATATATATATATATATATATATATATATATATATATATATATATATATATATATATATATATATATATATATATATATATATATAACGATAATTACTATGGAGAAATTATAAAGAAACTGACAATCTATATGAAATGTTGTTTCAAGCGATTCTTGAAGTTCTGTTAAATGTAAACATACGAACAACACTACTTTCAGACATAATTTTTTAATATTTTCCCATAAAACATGGTTACATTTTACAATTTTTGGGGGGAGGGGAGGGAAGAGGAGGGCTTCAGCTGGAAAGCCTCCCCCTTCCTGTAGATCCGCCTGTGAAACGAACTATCGCAACATCGCAGTAACTCTTGGCACTACCCGATCCAAGATTTAGTTTTTGGGGAGCTTCAACACGAAAGATTTTTTAAAAATATGTAACGATAATTACTTAGGAAGAAAAATAACGAAACTAACTACCAATATGAAATAGAGTGATTCTTGAAGTATTATTAAATGTAATTATACGAACAATAATACTTTTAGAGGTAATTATTAAATATTTTTTCATAAGATATGGTTGTATTTTACCATTTTTTTTTTTTTTTTGATGGGAGGCTTCAGCTGGAAAACCTTCTCACTAGATCGCCTGTGACTCTTTCTTGCTGAAGCCTCCCCAAAATGGATTTTTTTTTTCATTGGTTCATCCACTTTTAATGCCCATTAAAATTGTTATTCGAATAATAGCTAAATAGAAATAAAAGCAATGTTTGGAAAAAAAAGTTCCAAAGTCTCAATCTCCATAACTCTTTTATTTTTTATCAACAGGAGAGAGGGGAGGGGCGCTTAAAAACTAAAGATAATAATCCATAAGCATGCTTCATATAGCACCTGTACACTATAAAAACAACTTTAAAAATATTCAGTGGATTTCTTTTTATTTAACATATTTATTTTATGAAATTCACAATTTACTTAATGAAACATTAAATTTATATAGCTTGTCAAACTTTTACACTTTCCTGACATATTTCCATTTATTTTTAAAGTTGCTATTTAATTTATTAATATAATTTAAAAAAAAAATTATATTTGAATGAAATAACTGATTGAGTGGGAGACAATTTTCCAACTTATCAAGAATCATTTTTAATTTTATTAGTTACAAAATTTATTTGTAATGATTCGTCAGGAGACTATTGAAATGAGAAATGTGGCTAAGTTTATCAATAAAACGTCATATAATTTCAGAAGGTATTTTTAAAGGCCCAAAGGAAACAAAAACTCTCTAATTTAAAATTATGGAATCAACAAATAATATTATTAAAAAAAAAAAAGACTCCTTAGACCATTGTATATGAATTAATCCCATCCTTAAAATGTAAAAGAAATCAAAGATTATCCATAGTATTTTAGGCTTTGTAAATTAAGTATTATTCAAATCAATTAATTTTGTTATTCCAGAGATTACTTATAACAATAATATTAGTAAGTGAAAAGATAACATTAAGTAAGCTTAAACACTTTTACTAACCTACAAAAAATATTTTCAGCAGTCACAAAAAAAAATTAAACATCTCTGAACTAAGAATTAAATTTCATATTTCTGCATTACTTGAACATCATAGTAAAACTTGGTCAATTTTTCAATGATGTGCCTTATATATAATGGAAAATGGACGTTCAAATTTATTATTTACATTTCATATTTTAATTATTACATTCATATAATAAGCATTGCATTGGTTTCAATTTGCATTTATTTCAGCCCAGAATCAATCATAAGCATTCCTGTTGCTTAGAAAAATATACGAGCATACCCACTGTTATTAAAACTGTTTTTTAGTACTTTTGATGCAAATAAGTTAAATTTAGATTTCTTGTTTACTTTTATCCCAATGATTGAACATTTCAATTCTATTTATTTTCACAACAAAAAACTTTTTTCTCTTAAGGCTGATTTTGCCAACTCAAAGCATTATAATATAATGTCTAATAGAACGTCAGCAAAAAAATTAAATAATACTATTTCTATAATTTAGTATTTATTTGACCACACCCCTTGATAAACTCCTTCTCACATTATAATATAATGTTTTGAGTTTGCGGTATATTATACTCAAGTGTGAAAAGTGATTAACATTGTATATCTATATACTTATTATTTGAGTTTTTTTTATCAGACATTATTTTTTCTTTTCCAACATTGCTTAGTGCGTGTATATTTTTTAGTTAACCATCTCAGAAAATAGGTTTGTTTAAATAACATATTTTACATACTTGCTTATGATTGGAAGGAGGGATACCTTTTCAAGTTAACAGTGCACATTAAATGCAATTATTGAAATGCTGGCGCCAGATAAATTTTTATATAACACACACACAACCTAAGTTGTGCCTGGACAATAATTGGTTAACATTTTGACTATTCTTGGTCTTATTGGTCTAATTAAAAAATTACCATTGCTACTATCTGCTTATTTATTTATTTTTTAAAAATATTTCAAAATACACTAGATGAAAAAAGAAACCCTCTATCAATTTTATTAAATATATGTTTATATTCAATATTTTATTTTTAAAAACTAAATTAAGGGTACTAAATTGTCAAGTTGACTTATTAATTATACAATTAAAAAAAAATCCTATTGTAAAATCGCATATACAAATAGGCAATTTAATTTTTTCTTAAATAACCATATCCTTTATTTTATTATTCTATATTTTTTTTCGATTTTATAATTCTGATGTGTGGAGCGTACTCTCTACTCTAACAGTTTTATAAGAAAATTACAAGTTGGTGATTTCATAAACATTTTTAATAGATAAAAAAAAGTGGGCCTAAATACATGTATAATTTTTTCATAACTACCCTGCCATCATGATCTTCTAGATATCTGTGTCACCGAGATAAAGGATACCATGTCTATGTTTTATAGAATTATTTAGTAACGAAGAAACAAATTTCAATAGCTGAAAGTTATGGGAAATTGCCTCCTCTGAACAAATACTAAAATGTGAAATGGTGTTCCTTTGAGGTACTGTCAACTTTCTCATAAATAAAAAAAACCTAAGGTGTGCGCTTAAGACCACTAGATAGAAATGAAAACATCAACAAGGTGGGATTAATAATATGAAATATAAATATTTGTTTTTTTACTACATTCACAAAGCAATAAAATTTACAATATATAGAATTATAATTGTGTATAAATTATAGTGGTAAATCTTGCTCTGACAGATAAAATCATTTGTATCACACGCTAGAAATGAAACAATAGGTTTATGATAACTAAAATATGCGATGAATTCTTTTGATTGAATTATCTAAGAAATAACAGAAAATACTTAAATATTTATACATTTATATATGATGAGATTTCAATTAGTATACGTTAATTATGCAGTATTGGTATTTTCTTTTAAAAAGAACTTCTGTAACTGAGGGTCAGTAATTTGTCAAAACACTATGGAGTGTTACAGAAAACGAACAGAAACATTTAATTTTTAATTTTTACAGATTTTTATTTAAAAAATATATGTATATTGACTTCTGCCAACAGATAATAAACAGTTAACACCTACACACCTGGATGCTCCATTGTATTTAAATTTTAAAATATTTTAGTTCAAATGTTCAAAACAGTCTCTCTCTTTCTCTTTCTAATATGGTGTTGTGTCAAGCAGACAAGTCCATCTCTTTCCCTAGGTCGATGGTACATGAACCATCTCCTCCTCATTCTAAGTAATTTTATTATTATTCTCCTATGAACAGTTCAAGCGAAAGTAGAATTTAAAAAGTCGTAGATCATATACAGTTAAAATATTTGCAGTCAGTTCTATGTTTTCCTCTTGTCTTCTCGTTTGAAACTTTTAATTTCGAAAACTCATAACCCTGCCAAAATGCACTCCTCTCAGAAATGTTAACGGCGTAATTTGTGCCATGAAACGCCTTTATGGAGAACTCCTGGCGTCAAAATACAATGTTGAATAACAGCTAATCACAAAGATGAAATGCTGAACATTTCCCTCGCTTACAGTATGTTGGTCCGAATTTTAGTTTCTGAGATATTTTAATCCAAATTCAAAAATTAGTCGACTCGAGCCGAATATACCCGAATGAACGTTACATAACCCAGCGTTCAGTTTCATTTACTATTCACAAAATGAAATGTTAAGCGCATTTAAATAAGTTTTTACTAAAAAAAAAAAATCTTCTGCATTAAATATTTCTTTTTATTGTGACACTTTCATTTAGGGCATGGAGTGTTTTTAATTAAGTGCTGTTATTAAATCTGTTCTGATAATAGCAAATCAAATAAATACACTAAAACAATAAAAAAAAAAAAGTTTTTATATATTTAAATATGTCCATTAAGAAACAAAAACAAAGTGAATTAGATTTATTTTCCTGAAAATTAATCAAAGAAAAGGTTTGAGTACGATTTCTTTGATTAACTAAAGCAGTGTAAACCTGCTGGTGGAAGATAAGCGTAAAAAATTAAAAATACTCTATATATTGCTTATTAAAAACTCTTTTTTATATCCC